GGGAAGTCAGGCATCTTTCCCCCCCAGTTCTCTCTCCTTTTGCAATAGGGGAATAACCCTGTTTCATGGAAATCAAATTACCCGCCCTAAAATTTGTCATTGAGGTCACGCTGCTGCCCAGGGGCTGCAGCACACCTGCACCGCAGTCCCAGTACCCCGTGTCAGACAACACAGGCTCAGACCCAGTCTCACAACACAGAGTGACATGCTTGAGATCGGATGACCAGAGCACAGGGACATAGATGAGGACTAATGGCAGGATTAGGCCCATCTCACCTTCTACTGCTCAGACCAACTCAGGACATGGTGGAAACCATGAATATGTTAAGCACAGCCCAGCTACTTTTGGCAAAGTGATGCTCATCTGCTACATCCCCTGAAGCCTCGACTGCCTTCAGCATTCCCACTATCCCGCACTGCTGCATATGTTTCTTAAAACCTTAAGGATTATTTTGGTTTAACTTTATAATTTATCCTGCCCAGGAAATAGACAGTTTGTGGGTTTTTTTAAGGGAGAGAGTCAAAAGACACCAAGAGTGTTACTACTCAACCCTTCCCCAGGGAAGGAAGACGACATGGTTCAACTCCTCTGTTGGACAATCCGTTGGATTTCACTCATTTGACCTCTCCTGTGCTGCCTCGTTCCCTCCTCACGCCAACCAGTTGCTGAGGTTGGTTGCTCAGGGCATAAATACACCCCTCAGACAAAACAGCAGGAGCTCTGCTGGAGCCTGGATCCCAGCACCTCACCTCCACTTCATCTCCTCCTATCCCAGCAGTTCCCATAAGAACCACCCGAGATACTCCTTCTACACACACACACAGAACTGGCAGTCAGAATAAAATAAAAAATAGTAATAAAAAAAACCCAACCAAAACAAAACCCAACTTTGGAGCCAAAGCGAAAGACAAGCAAGGCTACAAAACAAGCCTGAGATATCTCAGTTTGACACCTGAGAGCCATGAGGGCCATGTTCCAGATAGCGTCACAGCAACCTTTGGACATCATGAGTCATCCCGTCTGCAAACTGTTTTCTCACCCAGAAAGGAATTCATTTAGGTAGGACCAGGATTCATACAATCATAGAATGGTTTAGGTTGGAAGGGACCTTGAAGATCATCGAGTTCCAACTCCCCTGCCATATGCAGGGACACCTCCCACTAGACGAGGTTGCTCAAAGCCCCATCCAACCTGGCCTTGAACACCTCCAGGGATGGAGCTTCTACAACTTCTCTGGGCAACCTGTTCCAGTGCTTCACCATCCTCCGAGTGAAAAATTTCTTCCTAATATCTAATCTAAATCTACCTTCTTCCAGTTTGAAGCCATTCCCCCTCACCCTATCACTACACTCCCTTGTAAAAGTCCTTCCCCAGCTCTCCTGTAGACCCCCTTTAGGTACCGGAAGGCTGTTACAAGATCTCACCAGAGCTTTCTCTTCTCCAGGCTGAACAACCCCAACTCTCTCAGCCCATCCTCATAGGAAAGGTGCTCCAGCCCTCTGACCATCTTCATGGCCTCCACTGGACCTGATCCAGCAGGTCCATGTCTTTCTCATGTTGGGGGCTCCAGAGCTGGACACAGTACTCCAGGTAGGGTCTTCATGGGCAATGCCAAATCCATGCCAGTGCTGAATACGATTTGTTGCTAACCCTAAAGGCCCCCAGTCTTCAGAGCTCTCTGCTAAGTGGGTCCTGGGTGGTGAGCTCCTACAGCACTCAACACCAACAAGTGAGTGGCCAACCAACCTTTCCAGTGCTACCAGTCTGCACTCACAATGCAATTAAAGAAAACAGCACACGAAGAATTATGAGGTGCTAATTCACAAGGAAATCGTATGGCTTGCACCCAGGAAGCCTTTGACCCCAGCAGGGATGGTGAACGAAGAGCTGAAGATCAGTGCTTGGGAGGGTCAAGCACCAATCACTGAGCATCATTCAGGCAGAGGTGGGCAACTCCATGAGATGTGGTCAAGTCCAAGCCTCATTTGTTCTCCATTAACTCACCCAGCTTGCATCAGGGCACACTCCCAAATATCAACATTTGCTCTGTAGTAAAAGCTAAGGCAAAACAGCTGTGCAGAGACAAGGAACAGCCAAAGATGACAATTTCTGCAGCTCTAGGAAGCGCTGACACAAAAGCTACCACTGTTATTAACAGGCATACCCCGATCTATGACCTCAACCCTGTGCGGGGAACACACGGCCTCCAGGTACAACCTCAACCCTGCAGGATTTACCCAGTAAATGCTTACAACATCTCCCATTCGAATTAAAAATAGACAGGTACTTATTTTCATCCACTTTTAGGAGCAAAAATATTTCCTAACAGAGTTTTGTCCCCAAAAAGGGATGTTTCCAAGTGCACAGATGATCCAGCAGCTGTAAAATACTGTAAAAATCAGGTAACTGGAGCATCAGGCTCTCAGCACCTGTTTTATTTCCAGAACCACACTGGTCTGAGCTATTTAGATGGAGTCAGAGCTGTCAACTGGCATTATTATTGTTCTTTGCAACCCACGAGTTTTTTGAGTCAGGCCAGCACAGGACAAGTGGCCAAGTGACCCTGGTTTAGCCGTGTTAGCTGGTGGGATAGAGAGCAAAACAAAAGCCAGAGAACCAATCCGCACACAAAAGTGGGGTTTAAAATTCTCCTCTTTATAAGATTATCGATAATTTCCTTCTCCTCCCAGCCAAGGGCATTTTAGAAAGTAATATGGGCTGTTATTACAAGACAACCAGTAGGTCACAACCAGTGTTTTTGCTCTCTGAACATCTATTTATATATAAAAGTCCCTATCATGAAACTAATCTCATGAAGCACTCCGGCTGCAAGCTGTTTTTCTGTGGGAGACATTACCAGCTAAAACCTCTAAAACCTTTTATTGAGAATATGGTTACATCACACAGCCTTTTAACAAATGAGTGGAGGATTAAGGTTTTAAATTTCCCAACGAAGTGCTCTCACTGTTGGCTAAAGCACTCAGCAAGAGGAAGAAAAATTAAAATGGGGGAGGAAAAAATAAAAATATGGGGGACTGGGGGTTTTAAACACCAAAGTCCGCATCCAGAGCTTGAATTTTAGGAGGGTGGAACCGCTCCGTGAAGCTGGGGGAGGCACAGGGCATCATGAGAGCCAGGGCAGGGCGCCAGCAGGAAACAGATGTATTAAATCTTCAGCCCCAGTATGTGAACCCTAGCAAAAAAACGCACCCGCACCCCCACACAAAACAAAGCCAAAGCAAAAAAAAACAAAAAAAAAATCACCATTGCAGCAGCATTCGGGATCCCTTGCAAGGGAGCAAGCATGCAGTGGTCCCATCCACAGCCCCCAGTGCTGTCAGGGCGGGGGAAAAAAAAAAAAGGAAGCTAGAAGAGACTATATTGACAGTTTCTTTGAACTAAAAACCTGGTATCATTAATAGGCAATCTAATCAGGTGTTTTATTTTTTTAATTAAATAAGCAATCATGTTATGACAAATGCTGCATATCGCCGGTCAGTGTTCCTCCTCCCCTCCAGAGCTTTGCAATATTTTCCTATGTTATTCTCCTCTGTGCTACCGTCCAACAGATCCAAACAGGGTAAACCGATTGCTCGCACAAGGGAAATGGTGTGTCTGTACATAGAATAAATTGGAAAAAAAAAACCAAACCCTCCTGCTAATCTTCCCTTACAAGCCCCACCTGCTATTTAGACAAGGCCCTGGGTAAACTCCAACCTGGTTTAAGGTTGCAACCTCTTTAGCTGCAGTCAGAGAGGCCGGGCTCAAGTGACTCAAGATCAGATTGATCCTTGTTCAGCCAAGGTTGGAATCTCAACATTCACTCGGGGGGGGGGCAAAAAAATAAAATGAAAACCACGCCTCTAGAGCGTGGCTGAGTTTTGCTTTTTGTTTTGTTTTTTTCTGGGTGGTTTTTTTTTCAGTTTTGATTTTTTTTTTTTTTTTTGCCAAAGGGTTGCAGAAACACAGCTCTCCGCTGAAGAACAAGTTTTGAAAATTATATACTTGCAAGAAGAGCTCAGATTACAGGGCGAATTCACGAAAGGTTAACAAAGCTGGCTCCCAGGGGACAGACCTAACGGAAGCCGCGCTTTAACAGCCCCCAAAAAAATAATGTTTACCCATCTTTTCTCACAACAAGTGGTGCTCTTTAAAGGCTTTTCAACCCTAGGAGCATGCATTGACACCCAAAGGATGGCGGGGAAAGTCGAGCAGCAGGGTCGGTGGCAGACCGAGGACAATCCCCGTTGATTTCACCCCGTTGTTACTAATTAAATGAGTGACACCAGTGGAGCTATCGCCCTATCTCACACACATAGCCACGCTGCCGTTGCACTGACTTTCCTTATGGGCAGCTCCCGGGGCAAGAAGTTTGTCAGTGAGAAACACCCTGCCCTGTACCTCCAACGGTGAGGAGAAGGGGGGGGGACAGGCAGTGCTTGGCTGGACCATCTTCCTCTGGGCAGGAAGGAGAAAAAGCCAAAATATAGGAAAACTTGGTTAAAAGGAGTCACTGGGAAGCTTGCAGATGGAACCAGCAGAGGAAGATGTGATAGAGGAGTAGAGTTTAAGACTTGATGAGCTATCAGACACTTACGGAATCATAGAATTGTCTAGGTTGGAAGGGACCTTTGAGATCATCAAGTCCAACCATCAACCTAACGCTGCCAAAACCACCTCTAAACCATGTCCCTCAGCACCACGTCTACACATCTTTTGAATACCTCCAGGGATGGCGACTCCACCACTTCCCTGGGCAGCCTCTTCCAATGCTTGTTTAGGGCTGCTTCTGGATGAGCTACTGGACATGTTTCTATCACACATCAAGCCCTTCCCCTGCCATGCCCTGACACCCCCGGCACTGTTTGATGGCCAGGATGGTCCTGCAGCCCCACCCACAGGGACCACCATCCCCACGGACCAGACAGGCATATCCAACCCCATGGAGCATCCATTGGGTGCTTTGCCATCCTCCCCCCACCCCTCCGCCGTGCCTCACCTTCCGGGTGCTGCCGCTCTTCAAGGCTTGCAGGAGGACGAGACCATCGTCCCCTTCCCCACCACCGGCCGGGCTCTCCTCCTCGGGGGGCATCATCTCCAGGGGCGCAGCATCCACAGGCTGAGAGGGGGTGGGGTGGGCCCACAGCTGGGGGCTCCCGCCTGGCCCCACAGGGTGGCTTTGGGGATCAGCGTCCCCTCCTTGGGATTCTCTGGTTCTTCTGACCTAACCCTACACCTTTCTAGCCCCGAGGCACGGGGGGTTCAGAGTCCTTAAACCCTCACTAGCCCCTGCCCTCTGATGCTGCAGACCCCCAGGCACCCAACATCTGGCTAGACACAAGCCCACAGCCCGCTTCTCCCCTTCCCAACCTACCCCAGTTGGGGAGGGGAGAATACAAACCCCCAAAGACCACCCTCGCAGAGCTACCCCTGCTGGGGTGGGGTGGGCAAAGCCCCAAACCCCCTTGGGAGAGGTATACCAGTTGGGGAAGATCCCCC